TTCCCATTGGTAATCAAGTGGCTCAGTGGCATGCTGGGAGGGGAGGAAGGTAAAAAACAGGATTTATTAAATACAAAATTGAGTGGCAGTGTGAAAGCTAAGTTCAGTTCATTCTGAGCAGCTAATTTTGTGAGAGCCCGAGGATGGAAAGAGGTCAATACTCTTTGCAGGCAAAGTCAAGGGTCAAAATGTGCTATTTGCACACTGAGTATTTCCATTTTCCCTGTCATGTGTACACTGCACCTACTTGTGTGACTGTGATTTGTCCCACCCTCAGTCCCCTTTTCCTGGTCTCTCCAAACTCAGTGCTACGACGCACTTCCCTTAGGAGGAAAAGAGGGGTGACAGTGACCAAAATAGATGATTTGGAAGTTTGTGCCAGGCAGCAGCACAGGAATGATCTCATAAGCAACAGAGCCAGTTTTAACTCTATGAAACAATTTTGTTCTAACAGATCTATGGCTCAGTGTATTTCCCAGGAAATCTCCTGTTTTCCAGGTACCTATTTCCTAGAGTTTGGTCAGGTGATGAAGACACAGACCTTCTTCCCTTGCAATTCTGTGCTCTGACACTTTTCCCAGTCACCACCTCCCTGAGAGCAAAGCAGGATATTCTCAAAGATATTCAGAGCATTTGGTTGGATATGATCTCCACCTAACTGATGCCATCAAAGTGTCCCAAAGAAAATAAAGCACAACAGAAGCAGCTCAGGTTCGTACCATGTGCTGCTATGAATAATGAGGAAAAGATGATGTAAAATGTGCAACCACTTTTTATTTCTAATTTATTTATCTATTCTCTATCTGGAATGAACTGCCCAACTGAAACATCCCTAAATGCCAGCAGAAATGTTTGGAGATTAGGAACACTTCAGAGGTGAGATTTCCCCAGTGTCCCCTCTATGGGCATATGATGACTCCTTGTCATGAAAATAAACACACCATTCTACTAAACACTGTTTATGTGGAGAAGAGTTGGCACAGATAAAGAAATCATGGTTTATATAAGACAAGGTTCTGTCTCTCACAGGGACCAGTACAACTGCTACAGATGGAGGTGAAATAAAATAAAAATCAATAGGACAACTTGCCTTGAGGGGAATTCTTCCTAATTATGGAAGGTTGGAGAACGACTGAGAGATGAGTTCAGACAGTACAAAAGGAAACAGATATCAAAAAAGGGACACATGCAGGCAGAGTTTTGCCACTTGCACAACTAAGGTATTTGTTTTACCATGCAGACTAAGTTTCTTTGTAGTTTAAGTGATGGTTTTTTGCACACTTGGGAGCAAACACGGACAGAGGGCATGGCAGAGGGCTGCCCTCACCAGCACCCATGAAAGCTCTAACTGGCTGTGCAGGGTGAGCACTCCCAGCACCCCCAGTTTTCCCAGCACAGCCCCTCAGGAGGGTCACAGCGAAGCTACGGTGCATCTGGAAGGGGTGTCTGGTTTCTGAGCCGAGAGGCAGAAGCGGGACCCCAAGGGGAGGCTCTGTCCCTGACCCCCTTTGCCCTCCCTTGTTCTGATCTTTATTGGGCCGTCTGCCTCGTAGCATCAAAGGCAAAAGCAGGCCCGTGATTTGTCCTACAACAGCTCTATAAAAAACATAATTGCCCAATAACCCTCTGTCTGCAAACCAAGCCATCTTCCTGTTTCTTCTCTCATAAAGACTATTTGACAAGCCTGTTCCATCAGCTTATAAAAACCTAGAAATAGTTGCCTTCCCTAGAAAGAAACTTCACAGAAAAACAGAAAGAAACTCGTTTTTCTTACATGTATATGTAGTGTGTGTATACACACAAATATATATACACTCTAAGATTTCCACATGTAAAATACCTAAACCACATAAGACAATGAAGTTACCTACTGGCATGACAAGCAGAGGAATTATTCCTTCTTAAAATGAGGATGTAACCCTACATACTGAATTCATAGGGTCAGAAATGCCCTGTACAAAACTGAACAAAAGGGTGTGCTGCTAAACTAAAAAGGGAATGACCTAAAAGAGATGCAGTAAGAATCATCCTGGATGATTGTTCTGAAGTTGCATATGATCAGACACAATGCAAGATTATTTTTTTTCTTTTTCTCTCTTAGAGCTTCTTTTCCCACATAGTAACATTGTTGCAAGACTCACCAATAAAAATGATTCTTCAGCCTTCCTTTTGATAAGTGTGCAGATATAAATTGTCCAGTCACCTTCTGCTTAGTGTAGGCAGTAGCTCATTTGGGTGACATTCTGTCCTCAAGCATCCTTGAGAAAATACAGAGAAAAACTCCAAATTAAAATTGCTATACCTAAGCTTTAAATCTAGATCACTTTGTGCTTCAGCCACTAAAAAGTAGCTTGAAGTAATCCTTTGAATAATCTTGCTTCTGATGAAAAGTTTTCCAAAAGATCAGTTATCCAACAACTTGTCTGGCTGTCACAGGTTTCATTTGAAATATGTAAGGTAGATATGCCGTTCAGATTTGATTTGTGGTGCTGAGATTTACACTCCTGGCAAATGTAAGAATATTGCATTTTAATTTACTTTCAATACAAAATAGTTGCTTTGATATGCCTGAGAACAAACGCCTTGGGATCTGTTCCTCCCCAGTGACGTCAAATGAGAATTCCTCTATCAACATTAGTGGATGGATGAAGGATCAGGTCCTCAAAAACAAACAAAGAAATAATTTATGGCTACTGCTATGGGCCAAATGTTGAAGGGTTTGCTTTATTACACATGCAAGCCTGCTGAAGTCAATGAGGACCTCAATAAGAAAGGTGGTGTCAAAGCTAAAGGAAGGTGCTGATTTCAGATTCCACAGAATGCTCTGATTCAGGACCCAGGATTTGATTTTAGTGTTCTTTGTCTGAAACAAGGGTAAAACCAGATATAGTTGAGGCTGTTCTAAGCAGATATATCTATAGCTATAATGTTGAATAATGGCAGCAGCTGTAATTGGAAAGTTTCAAATAATACAATAATTTCATTCACAGTACATAGGATGTCTCTTTGTGTATTTTCATAGCTTTTTTTCAGTCTTATATAGCAATGAAATATTAATTTTCCATTCAGTTATCTGTGCTCTGGTTTGTATTCACATAGCTAATTGTCTCTGTGGGACTGAACCTTGGTTATAATTATTTTATACAGCTGCCAGTTGCTCTGTATGGTTCCAGCATTCACTCTCCTGATTCCTTGTCATGCACGTGGTTCACCTCTGTTCAGGGCCCTCCTGTGATTAGCCAATCTTGTTGTCAAAAAAGAACCATTTTCCAAACCTTCTTTTCCGTGCTCTTTCTGTTTGTCACAAAGTCATCAGTGGGACTCAGCTCTGCACTTCCCCAGTGGATTACACAGCAACTTTTCAGTAGTTCCACTTCTGAAGTATCTTCTACCCCCCCTCCAGGCCCTTTCCTTCCCTTTGTATCTAGCAGAGAAGCAACACCTCCTCACCTTTTCATAATTGGGAAGAAAGAATCTCCCAAACAGATACATTTGGAGTGACCTGCCTGCTGTGGGCATGAGGGCCTGTGGCTCAAGGCAATCCAGTTTTCTCATCTGGTGATGTGAGATGGGAGTCCAACTTGTCTCAAACGCTGTAAGGGCAGCCTTAAAAGTACTAAAGTCAGCATCTGCATCTTTTTCCTGATGTTTCAGATCTTCTTAGTGCTTCCCTCTACCTTCCCTGTTAGTTCATCTAAGGAGAACACAAATATTCTGAAAGTGCACATACACAGAATGAATGCTGAGCCCACCCCATGATGAGATGTGATTTCTGGTCAGTGAAGACTTCAGGCAGAGTCTCACATGCAGCAGAGCAGTGGACAGGTAGTCACACACCTCAGTCATCTCAGTCTCACTCTGTGTACTGCCCAACCCAGGAATTCCTCCTTCCTTGTTTCTACCAGTAGCCTTGTCTTGTGTTCAGCAGCCTCCTCCTCCTCCCACCCAGTTTGTCTCGGGGACTCCCCAGTGATTTATCCTCCCCTTTGCCGAGGCAGCCACTGGGCAGCACAGCAAACCCTTCCCTGGCCCCGCTCCAGCCCCACGTGCCCTGTGCAGATCCCGTGCCAGTCCCACAGCCAACTGCTACCACAGGTACCTCCACCTGGGGGAAGCAGAGAACCACAGAGCTCCCGACTTTTGGAAGGTTCCTGAGCACTCCCCTGCTTCCGGTAGGAAACTGGCTCCTAAATATGCCAGACTCCAGGTGAATGGTTGTGCCAGGGCCAACACCAGCATTGAACAACCAGAACTTGGCCCAAAACCCTGTGTGGGCAGGAGTTCTCCTCTGAAAGAGGCACTGGGTTGGTTGGTGTTGTCCTGAGAACAACTGGACTGGCATCACCTCTGGGAAGACTGATACACTTGGAGGCTCATGTGCCCTTCTTCCAGGTAAACACCAATTTGGGAATCTGTTTAAACCCCACACCTCCAATCTATCAACTTTAAGGGTTTCTTCAAGGGAGGACTGGACCCAAAGGTGGGGTTTCACCTGTGGCTTTGGGATTGGTGCCACACAGTGAGGTTATGAGAAGCAAATGACAGGATGTTGGACAGATTGATTGCTCTTCAGGTTGGAATGTTAAGCTTGTCTGGGCCACCAGGCTGTAATGCTGTATTCTCTTACTGAGGTTGTGTTACACATATTGAATAATTACTGCAGCAGTAATTCCTAATTCTATAGTATTGGAGAAGAAGAGACTGTGCACCATTTGTGAGGGTATTTACTATTGGTATGCAGTATTTATGCAGTAAACTGTATTGACCTGTATGAAGAAAGCAGAAAGGTGCTGGACACAGCACTTAGCATTGTAGACTGAATTTTGAGCAGAAAATAGAAATTAATGCCTACTTTTAAAAAAATGAATCAATGTGTCAGTGGTTAAAAAGTCCATACTGAGCAGCAGGATTTTATTTACCATCTCCTCTAAAGATGTTGGGGTAGTAAAAAAATGATAACTTGTCTTGAAACATTAATAAACCTGAGTTGGCCCATGTGATACTGAGATCAGTGGCCCAACACCTTCAAGCCCAGAGCTTTAACTTCAAGACTCCCTGCACAGCAACTGTTGCACAGAGTTGTTTAAAATGAAGGTCTCAATCCTGCTTAGCAAATCTGTATGGTATAAAGTTGAGCTAAACCAGAGCCTTGTTAAACAAAATAGGGCTCAGTGCTGGCTTGGCAGTTTGCTCCTGCTGTACAGAACTGAGGCTCAAAGCAGAAGCAGATTAAAAAAAAAAAGGTTGTGGAAGAACAAACCTTTCCTCTTGCTCCATCACTCAGGCTCTTACACATGTTGAAAAATAAACAGCCACCAACTTTTACAGCAGCAGGATTTGGAGTGTGCTATTGGGAAACCCACTAAATCTTTAAAGGAGGTACCTTTGGAAATATTTTATAGACACTCATCTCCCCAGCAGGAAAGCTAGTGCTGCAAAGAGACATCTTTAACAAATAAATAATAGTTTATTAAGTCACTTGTCTCCACAGCAGGAAATAAACTGGGGGCTGGGGAAGGAGGGTGGTGGAGTGACAAAGGAAGGGAAACAAAAAACGTTACCCTTGCAACCCCTCTGCTCCACCAGAGCTGTATTTATTTAAAACACTCTTCTCCTAAGACAGATGGAAAAAATAATTAACCCAGCCACCCACCCCTTTTATTAAACTCCTTTGTGACCACCAGGGATACGATTAACATGGCCACCATAAAAACCCAGTCCCCTACCCTCAAAATAAAGAGAAAAACACAAGCAAGATTGAGACACGGTGCAGGGCAGGAAGTAAATTAAGAACCTGCCTCTAGGGCAGTGAGAATATTTTTCGGAGTACCTGCTGGAAAATTTGCAAGACAATCATAGTGAGGGGTTTTTTTTCACTTTGATCTTGAGGGCTCACAGAAGAGAATCTTCCTCTTAGGCAACCAACTTGTGTGGAACTGCCATTGCTCCCCAGAGGACAGAATGGTAATATCCAAGTTGTCCCAAACTTGCCCCGTTTTGAAGCTTGCCCAAATCCTCTGTCCCACGTGCAATCACAGACAATTCTTGTGGTGATGGGTATCTCATAAACTCTTATTTTTTATTCACTGGACTTTTCTATAGTTCTCCTCTTGCTGCTGCAAGGTATTCCATGCCTGCAGAAGGCCAGGCCAGATTTGCCCAGGAAAAGTTGTCTTCATTTATACAGTGTAATAGAAATCTGGATTTCTCCAGTTGATTGCACAGCACAAATCTAGTACATGGATCCCAAGCAGCAGATTTTCTTTTCCCCTCTACTAATACCTTCCATAGTCACCTACACCTTAGTTTTCAGTTCAAACCACCCTCCTGTTCACAAGATCAAAAATATTCAGGTCAAAGAACCTTCATCCTTTCGTGTGATGACTCTGTGATTTCTTAAACTCCACTACCCTCCCTGTCATCAGAATCATGGGAAAACCAGGAGATCTTAAACCTGTCTGTATCTATTCACGTGTGTTCTCATTGGCACAATGGCAAAACTAGGTGAAAACAAAAGCTAATTAATAGAAGGTTGGGGCAGGCTTTGTGTATGTGACTCTGTGCAGTTACAGGAGTCCATTCTGGAGGCATCACTGTACTTAGATACTGACTTTGCTGTATTATTTCCATGTTATCTTCAGCAGTAGTTACCCTTTCTAAATGTGTGTATGCTGACATTCACTCCTGACTGCAGCACTTCATTTGTTAGGATTACCCCAGGCTAAAGGAGACCAGCCAGAATCACTGTGTAGAAAAGGCTTTTCATCACAGCAGCCTGCCTGAAAAATGTGATGCACAGTGTCTACCAGTGCATGATGGTGATGGGAAGCCATGCCAAACGAGGCAGCCTGGAACAAGAGGCTGCCAGGGTAAAATGATAGTCATCTCCAAGGTGTAAGATCTGTCAGCTTCCCAAACCAAAGATTTCTGTTCTGTGATTGCCAAGGAAGCTCCTTGCATGCTGCCATCATTATATAAGGAAGCACTGAAAACATTCTGAATATTTTGGGAGAACACATTTCCCTCAATACATTTGATTTCAAGCTGACCTGGGAAGCATTTTGCTCACCTTCTATTAACCACAGCCCTCAGTGTTGTATTCTTTATCCCTTAGGAAAAGCTGGAGGCCTAAGGGCTTAGTCAGAACTTGTTCCTGTGGAATAAGCTCATGATTAACATCCCCTGTGCTGTGGTAGATTGTGACCATGGGAGAAGTGATACCAGCTCAAGGGCAGGATGAGCAAACCACTTGTATGGA